TAAGGAGAATAGAGGAAGAGTAGAAATGGAAAAGTGTTTGCTCCTTGATTGCGGACGCAGATGAGAGGATAGAGCTTGTTAGTGAGCGGTGAGTGCACTTGTTCGGAACAGCGCAGTGGTACTTACCTCGAACCATTTTTCGATTCGCTTCATCTTGGCGAGCCAGTTGAGGATCAGAGGGAATCGAACACCGTCCCCGTTATCCAGAAATTGCACCAACGCGCCCTGAAGGTGCAATCAGCATGCTGGTGCGGTGTCGTATGTAGAGAAGTGTTGATACATACCTGCATGGTGTTTTCCTTCAGTTTGCAACCCCACAGCTTGTCTCGCACAACGTAGCTCCGTTGCTCGTTTTGCCAGTACTGCACGCGAGTGGCGAGTGAGCGCCCACACGCCAGAGCTGCAGCAAACGACGCGTTGACAACGCACCTGCATGCCGCACATTCGAAAGCCCAGCGTCGACGAAGTTGTAACGGAGCAAAGCAGCTTTTGCTGGAGGATCTTTTTCGTGGAGGCCTTGTCATCATATCCTGCAAGAAAACGTTGCTTTGAGCGACACGCGTATATGTGTGCTACGCGAGTCTCGTACCACGGGCACCGATCTTCAGGTCGCATATACAGGGGTATTTGTAGCCGGCGGTAAGATCCTCCATCACAATGTAGTGCTCCGTCACAGAATCGTCCCCCTCGGACTGCATCATCCCGAGGAATTGTGGGTTCGAGCGAAAGAGGAGTGCTCAAGTGTTTGTGCGAAGGTAGACGGTACCGTCTGCGCTGCACCATGAAAGCGCGGGAAGAAGTGCTCCCAAACTGCAGCGTTGCCCATCCGGGTCTTCATCTCATCAATGCCTTCGCACGTCACTCCAGACCCTGTAGCGAATCGATGACAGAGGCAGAAGCAGTGTAAGGCGATGCTTGGTAAAGGTCGCGCTTGAAGCGTAGGAGCAACTTACCTTCATGGTCAGAGGAAGCGAGCTTCGCGAGCACCGAATAGAACTGAAACTCGACCGGGCACAGAGGCTTCAGGATCTTCCCTGCAACGTGCGATCGAGTGAGTGAGTCGCGAAGGAGGCAAAACACAAGCGAGAGGTTAAGATACCGCCGTCCAAGTCCTTGAGGAACGCTGCTTTGCCCTTGTGTCCGCCCACCTGCACAGGGAGTAGTTAATCGAGGCTGATCTTACGGACATAAAGGAACGTACGCAGGCGAAGAGGGGAAATGTAATGAACCACGGCCAACCTGGTTCTGAAAGGTGTCCAGGTGCGAGTCTGGTCGTCCGGAGCGTGATCTGCTTTGTGCTGGTGGTAGAGTGGCGTGGTGAGTGCGAAGCCACACTTCAGCGCAGGGAGGGAAGACAGAAAGTGGGTCGCAGCGTGATCAGAGGTGCAGTGTACCATCAGCGGTGTAGCAATCGAACCTGGAAGCGGCCTCCATGCACTTGCCTTTGTGCACCGTATAGTTGCACCCTCGCTGGCACGCAAAGCCAGGGGAGAGCGGGAACAGGTACTTACCGCAATACTGCGCTCCATCAACGGATTATGATTGAGTACTTCAATAGATTAACCACAAATGGTAGGCTTGTACCTTGCACCAAGAGAACGTGGCAAAATCGACCTTCTCCCACTGATGGGGCTGTGACACGTAGAGACTGCTACCACCTGCCGCGCTGGTCGCGGCAGCCACGTGCTGCAAATCTTCGATCTCTTCATCGCTGCTCTCCTCCCCTTCTTTTAGTTTCACCTCCAGTCCTTCCTTGCTCAACCTCACCACGCCAGCCTTCTCCTTGTCCTCTGGTTCTCCTTCGGCCTCACCCCCTTCGCCCAGTTTTCGGTAAATCAGGGTAAAGGGCGATTTGATGATTTCCTTGATAGCGGTGATGCTGCGCAGGCTGCTGCCCCACACCTCCCACCTACTTGTCGCTCGTCCTGCTTCATCATTACCTTCCATTCATTCGAAAGCCAATCGGCGGCTGCCTCCCGGTTCAGGTGCGAAAAAATAAATATAAAATATCGAAATAGGCACTTCCACTCCTGCGCAGCAACAGTGTGTGATCCTAGAAGAGACCCGCGTTCTTCTTGATCTGCTGCTGGCGCCACACCTTGTAGGTGTAGAATACATTGCGGGGGCAGCCGAAGACCAGCTTGAACTCTTCATCACTCAAGTAGGACTGTTGGAACCACGCATGCACGCACGGGGTGAGCAGTGATCTCTCCAGCTGGTCGGTGACCACTAAACGATCAGTGAGGCGTACGAACCTCCAGTTTGGACCTGTCGACGTAGCGAGGCAGCAGTTCCCTATCCGTGGACGTCAGTTCAGCATAGGGCAGGACAAAGCCTTCCTTTTGCCTGGGAGTCCGGCGCACACATCTTCGCGTGAGTATGGGGTGTTCCACTGAGCCTAGGGGGTGGGTGTACCTGGCCTCGGCGGTCTTCTTCTCTTCCAGTTGGGCACGCTGCTCCTCCCTCTCTTTTCGCTCTTTCTCTTCGTTCTTCTTTGCGAGCGCCTCTTGCTCCTCCTGTCTCTGCCTGGCGCGTTCGTTCTCTTCTTCGTCTCTCCGCTTCCTCTGCTCGGCCTTCTCTTGTTCTAGTTCTCGTTCCCTCTCTTGCTCTCCTTCGCTTTCGCTATCACTTTCGCTCTCCTTGCCATTGGTCGCTTCTTCGAATGAATCATCGAACGGCTCGTCGTAGGGGCTGACCCCTTCCGCGGCCGGGGCTTGTTCCTTGGCCTTCGCCGGCGGCTGCTTCGCCCCGCTCTCGCCGAGAATGGCAGCCATCATCGCCTCGTCGTCCACCACCGCCTCTGCCGCCCACTCTTCGCCCTGGCTCACCGCACTCGCCTGCTCGAGCTTCACGCCGGGCTTCTGCTCATCGAGGAAGTACTCGTCCCACTGGGCGTTCTGTTGTTGTTGTGTGCCGCCGCTCCGCCGCGGCGAATGCACGGGCAGGATCTCGTCCTCAGCAAAGTAGCCGCTGCTGATCGACGCGTCGCCGCCGTAGGACGTGGCCGCGGCGGCGAACTCCTCCTGGGCCTTTAGCCGCTTCTCCTCCTTCTTGGCCCGTCGCTCCTCCTTCCTCTTGCGCCGCTCCTCCTTCTCCCTCCGCCTCTCCTCCTTCTCCCTCCGCTTTTCCTCCCTCTCCCTCCGCCGCTCCTCCCTCTCCCTCTCCTCCCTCTCCTCCCTCTCCTGTTGCTCGCGCGCCTCTCTCGTCTGATCGACGGTGCTGCTGGCGTAGGCGTCGCCCTGCTGCTGTTGACTGAGAATGGCCGCAAGTATCGAGTCGTCGACCAACTCGTCCGCGGCCTTCTGCTTCGCCAGAAGCAGGCTCGGCGCTAGCTGGGCGCTGGCTCTCGCGTAGCGTTCGGGCTCCTCGTATTCTTTATCCGCCTTGCTGGCCTCAAAGGCGTCGTCGTTCTTGGCAGGGGCGGAGGTACGGAAGGCCTCGTCTTCGTCCACAAAGTGTATGTCGCCGTCGCGCTCGTACGCATAGGCGTTCAGCTCGAACTCCTTCTTGGCCCGCTCCCTCTCCTCTCGTCTCTTCTCCCGCAGCTCCCTCTCCTCTCTTTCTCTTTCCGCCTTGTCGCGCGCGGCGACACCGCCAGAGCCCGAGCGTCCGCCCTTCAGGAGGGCCTCCATCATTAACCTGTCCTGCTGCGCGGCGCTGGTGGCCAGCTCCTCGCCTCCGCCGATGTAAACGCCACTGACACCCGTAGTGGTGGTGACGGCGACAGTGATGGTCTGGCGTTGGCGCGGGTCGGCTGTGGCCCGTTGGCCGGCGGCGTACTCGCGGAAGGCCGGCGTGGTGGCGGCCGCCACCGCGACCGGCGGCGACGGGTTGCGGCCCGACCGCCGTACGGCGGGGTCATCGCGATCGTCCTCGTCTTCGACAAACACCACATCGTCGAGGTAGTTCTCCTGGAAGCTCTCGGCGCGTTTGCTCTTGATCGGGGACGTACCGCCCAGCCTGGCCACGGGACGCGACGACGATGGATCATTGCGCTCCAGTTCCTCCTGCACATCAGAGAGGGCGGGCGTATTTGCTCGGTCAAATGCGCAGCAGGTGCGAGTGTGCGGGCAAAGTCATAGTCACCTTGACCGAGGCGCCGTCGAGGTAAAAGCAGGACTCTTGCGGGGATTGGCTGGTTGTGGGGCCGTGGAAGGTGGTCTGCACGATGGGCACGGGCCTGGTGCCTCCTCCGCTGCTCCCGCCGCTGCTTCCGCCGCGCTCACGCTGCTGCTGGGGGCCATTCTGCCGCTGGTATTCGAACACGTCGGAGTAGGGGGACGGCGACGGCGATGACGAAAACTGGTTGTCTCGGAATCCGGTAGACCGTGCGGGCGACGACGAGGGTGAGATCGACGTGAAGGACGACGGCGGTGGCAGGAGCGACGCAGGCGAGTTGTCGTTCATGATGCTGTCTTCGACGTAGTTGTCGAGTTGCGGCTGTCGGACGGCGGCCTGCCTCCTCGCCGAGGGCGAAGCCGGCGCGAAGGATTTGGGGAGTGGCGACGACCACGGCGATTGCGATTCCTCGCCCTGCGGCGACCCCTTGCGGGCCGTGCTGGGGCTGGAGTCGCTATCGGCCAAATACGCGCCACCGCCGAATCCCGATCGCTCTGCAAAGAGACTGGTCAGCCGTGCGCAGGGTCGCACACATAACTCATCATCCGCCGCATAATATGATAAGTACCAGAGAATGAAGAAGACGGCGAGGCCGCGGAGTTCTTGTAGCCGCCCCAGCTGGCGGGGCTGGTGGGATGCGAGGCCGGAGCGCGATGATGATCGGACAATTCCTCCTCGGCCTCGAAGTTGTCGGTGTCGAGGTAGGGGTCGGCCACCTGGGCGTACTTGGACGCCGTGCCCTTGGCCGCGACCGACTTGCCGTCGATGCGGAGCGGCAGAAGCTCGTAGCCCTTCTGCAGGAACACCTTCTCGAGGAATTCCTTGATCGGGATGTTCGACTTTGTCTCCTCCTTGGGCCTGGTGCCCTTGAACGGCGGATAGCCGTGCCAGACGGGGTTGTTGGTGTAGTGATCGTACTTGCCGTCCTTCTTGCGGAAACTGAAAGCCTGGTGTGACCGCCGGTGTTGGTTAAGAACACGCTACAGCGGGCGCGTGGAAGCAAACACGAGCGAGCTGTGATGAAAAGGCAAGTACCAGACACGTGGGGTAGGTCCGCGAGAAGCGCATGAGCACGGCCTCGGGATGGTTCTCCAAGATCTCCTCAGCGTGGTGTCTGCGTCCGCCCACCGTGAGTCACAACGCGCACGTGCTGTGTGTGTCGTGTGTGTTACCTGTTGATGAGACCAAGGAAGCCGGAGCCCAGCACGTAGTTGGAGAAGTTCTCAATGAACTCGTGGTAGGGTCCGAAGAGGCGAGTGAGCACCTCCCACCTAAGGGCAAGATGAATGATGGTGAGAAGGTCATCAATCGATCGTGGAGCTGCGAGGCCTCGAGACTTGGGGGAGGGGGAGGGGGAACGCACTTGTAGGTGGTGACCATGTTGTCGCGAGGGAAGTTGAGGAAGTAGTTGAAATAGTAGTACAGGTCCTGCTTCATCTTCTCGCTGGTGACGACAGAAATTCCCTCTCGATCACCAACTCGTAGAACCTCTGTGTCAACAAGCAACAGCGAGGCCGCGTTGACCATTATCAATTCGTTAGCTACTATCACCCAAGCACGGCAAGATGAAGAAGAAAAAGCAGAGACGACATGAGCCCGTGTCTAAGGAGGAAGGAGGTCACCTCGAACTCGCATGAATACTTGTCGCTGCCCACACGCATCTGCCAGATCAAGCGCGCCTGAAGGTGTATACCCGCACCATCGAATCATCAGCACGGCGTCGCGCTCCCCTCCCGCTTTCCGCCGTTGCTGCAACTTGCCGCGTGGGCACGTACGCACCTGCGGATCAGAAATGATGGCGGTCGGCGATGCCCGCTTGCGGGCGGGCGATGCGCTTAGCGGGCCGGGTGACGAAGGCTTGGCCGGGAACAATACCCTCAGCTGCTCATAGTACCTGTATGGCAGTATCACTGACACGTCAACCGCACTGTCCAGGTGTATGCGAGTGTGCGTGTTGTGTGTGTGTGTGTGTTGGTGCGAGGGTGGCGACCTCCTGATCGAGAGCTCGAAGATTTCAAAGTTGGAGTTCCACTTGGTGCGCCCGCTGAGAATGTCCGAGAGAGCGAGGATGGTATCGCGCAGCTGCGTGTTCATGATCTTGAGCAGCTGCGTGAGGAAGGCTCGCCGTTCCTGCTCCTCCTTGTCGTTCAGCCCCATTCGCTTCTGCACAGCCGCGGAGTGAGCGGACATGTAGTTAGTAACCGATGCTGCATAGTCTAGCGAGTTCGGCAGCAGAAGTACCTTTTGCTGCTGTCGGACGGCCTGCAGCTTGAGGTACTGCCGCAGAAGATCGATTGTCGCGTTGACGTAGTCGATCGTGTTGTCGGTCGGGTTGTACTCCACCAACGGGTCGGACGTAAAGAGCGACGCGTTCTTTTGCTGCAATGACAGGAAAGAAGAAGAAGAAGTCACATGTCAGCGGAAAACCGACACTCGCGCACGCAACACAGAACCAAGAAGGGTCGTTGGTGGCCGGCGGGCATGCCTTGTTCTTCTTGGCGGCAATGTAGGCCTGGTCCTTGAGTTTGAGTTCCTTGATGTGGCTCTGCACAACATAACTCAGGTAGTCGCACACATGCAGGCTCCTTTCCACGTCATGACTCTCCGTCACTGCCGCATCAGCATCATACGCACGCAGAACCAGCCACACCGCACGCACATGAACCCAGTTAGTGTATGGCCCCCAGTCATGTACCATTGCAGAAAGGGGCGCAGAGGGGGAGACGGTACGGCGGTCCTTGTTGTGGCCGTACCAGGCACGGTTGACCAGCACCACCCGACGCAGCGAGTGCACGTCCAAGTACGAAAAGATCTACGCACCATTGCAACAAAAGGCGATCAAAATAAATAATTATATTTATGAATTATATTTATGATTAGTTATTAAATAATTAATATATTAATTATATATAAAATAAATAACATAGTGGGCGGGGAGAGCGTACGCGCATAAGGATGGGAAGGCCTATGGCGTAGTGAGTAAAGAGGTCCGTCCCTTCGCCCACGTTGCGCACTTCCTCCTCCACGTCATCCGCCCCACGATACCCATCGAACTCCATCGGGCAGCAGATGTTGTCTATCGATCCGCTCGCAGATGAAGAATGAAGTGCCGGGTCGCCTCGTTGGGGTGGCACAACAAAACTCCAGATATTAATTGGCAATCACCCCTCTTGCTTGCTTTCTCTTTCGCCGCTCCCTCTCGGCCCACGGTCCTCCTTGTTCACTTCAAAGCCCTCTTTGCCTTCGTCGCCTTGCACATTTTCTCTTTTTCTCTTTTCTTTTCCCTATTTTTCCTTTATGTTTCCGTTGTAGTGGACAAGACCAAGGACCAGCAGGCCTCATTAGCCGAACAAACGGCTGAACTTCTTCTTGGCGCTACTGTCGGCAGTGGCCGCGGTGGCGGTGACCTTCCTGTGCTTCTCTTTCTCCTTCTTGTCCTTCTTCTCTTTCTCCTTTTTCTTGTCACTGCGCACGGAGGTTGCGTGAGTTTAGGCCATCACCACCGCAACGTGAAAGGGAGTCGTACTGGAAGACGAGCGCCTCCTGGGCGGGGTCGAGGAGGACTTCGAAAATTTCGCGCAGCCGGTAGTCGACGGCGAGCGGCACCTCCTTCATACCGACGGCCTTGGTGATGGCAGTCGCATGCTCGTACATGAACGCGTAGAGCGTCGACAACGCCTTGTCCTGTGTTGTGCGTCAAGTCCAGCACTCACGCGTTAGTGCCTGCCGTGTGATGCACATGCGCTCA